AGAAATGCCGAAAGTGAAGAAGTGCGGAATCTGCAGAAATGCAGTGCGGAAAATCGATACGTATCGGTTGCTTTTCGTCATTTCTGCAGATTCCGCACTTCTGCAGTTTCGCATTTCTGCATTTCTTCAAATCGATATGTATGTAATGCTTTTCGTCATTTCCGCAGATTCCGCATTTCTGCATTTCTTCATGGTCGCAAGCTGTGAACGCGGCCTAAGCCATTAGCAACCTTTTTATCGCCGACTTTGCCCTTTGCACGAAAAAAATTGTGACCCTACGACATCATTTCAGTGACAGCTGCCTATCTTCTCCTAGAATACAGAGCTGATGGTAGTTTTTGTTGCAGAGGTATAATTACCGACTGTGACACGAGAACTGGTCAGGCTTCGTTTATACCTCACCCGTTTGTAGAATCCGCCAAAGCGTATAAGTATCGATGGACGACAACTGTCGACCCACTCAAGGTCATGAGTCCCATCTACCTCAGTCAGCACATACTTCACGCTTTTCGGTAGTTGTGTAGAGTACTATTGTATTTGAAGGGGGTGTAGCCCTGTGGTATGCAGTACTGTGTATTGCAGGCGGGGGTCGGCTGATCCGACGCGGCACGCGACCCAACACGCTTCTGCTCCCTCGTGAACAAATGGTAATCCTGCCGCTTTTGGTAAGCTCGTTTACTGTTGACCGTGACATCCTTCGAACTTTCTTGTGCGTGTCATCCTGGGTATCACAGTAACCACTCGACTGGTCAAATGACAGCGGCTGTCTAAAGCATTGTAAACGCTGCAAGAAATATGTAGCGAGCCAGACTTGGTAAAGGCACAGCGCGTCAAAGCATGAAAAAACGTGCAAGAAATATCGTACGCGAGCCAGGAAGGGAGGACCTTTTCAGCTTTTCACAGCTTACGGGTGGTGGGTAAACCACCCGTAAGCTGTGAAAAGCTGAAATGTGCCAAATCACAGCAACCACAGGGGGCCATGCGGACGAAGAGTGCAGAGGGAAAACAGAAGATTGACGCGCTTCAAACGACGGCTGGTTCAAGTTGGGTCTCGCTTAGACCAGCTAGGCTCCAATGCGGGTGTTTAGCTTAAGGTTATCATGCTTAACACTTCAGTTAGAAGTGAACTCAACGCCCTCATACGTGGTATTCAATGCCTGAAAAATGCTAAAAAAAGCAATTTATATAACCAGCGCGCGTAAGGGTCACCTGCTGCTAGGATGCGTAAGGAATATTTCAGTGCTTACCCTTTGAAATACACCGGAAACACTTGGTTGTGTTTCAATACACCATTCGGCCTAAAGAGGGAGCAGCTAAGAGCAGCGTGCCGTGTAGTTCTCCGCCCCCAAATACGTCAGTGGTATAAATAGTGAGTATGACAACGAGCACTAGTAAAGCTCCGTTCATACCTCACGCAGCGCTGGGGTATCCGCCAAGAGCGCATAAGTATCGATGGACGACAATTGTTGACGCTCCCAAGTGCAGAGTTCGATGTACTTCCATCAGCACTACTTCACGTTTTTCGGTAGTTCTCTAGTTCAGTTCAACCTCCGAACTTGGCCCTACTTCATGTGTTGCGAAATCGTGACTCATGATTGCGAAATACGCCCACCCGGCTGTTAATAAAGGCAGTTGGCAAGGTGCCAATTGCGTGGGAGGCATCCCACGTGCACCGTGGGACGAACGCTCGGATTTTCGTCGCATTTCTTCCAGCGTGACGTCACATTTCGCGTTGGTCCCTCCCACCGGTCATCGTCGCTTGTTTGCGGGCGGCTTGCACTTTGACGTCGGCGCTCGTCCCAGCAGCCGTCGGGCGGGCAGGAGGAGGAGCTTGGCACGTTGCCGAGGGCGGCGCCATTGGCCGTGTGCCAGCAGCGTCGTGCCAGTTCGCGCGCGTCGCATGCGGCGGCGCATTTCGAATCGCACTCCCTGCTGGACGGCGGCTGCGCGCCATCTCTCGCTTTCCGTCCTCTTCTTATTTCAACTTTCCTACTCATTCATTCCTACTTTTCTGCTTTCATTCTTTCTATTCCTTACACAGCTTCAGCCTAACACCCACTGATAACGACATTGGACATTTCTCGCCCTCCACGTCCGTGTATTTGATTATGCCCGCAGCCGTCAGCGCCGGCTTGGATGACCTTTCAATCATCGCGACCTCTCCACTTTCGACCATCTGCTCCGCTGCTCCCGTTGCCACTGCTGTCTATCTGACACATTTTTGGTCACAAACAACCCTGATTGCCCAACTCATCTGTTGCGAATCTAACGACCGTTTATGACAAGCGTTCTTATGCCGTCTCGCTCCTCCTCGGCATGTGTTGACCATTTCCCTACCCTCCTATCGAGTTCGAGGAGCAGATTCTCCGCGGCTTAGTGTAAAATCGAACGTCGCGATCTGTGCCGGATCCAGTCGAACTGCTCACTGCTATTGTTGTTGTAAGAAGCTCTCTGTAACGAGCTTCTTCTTAATGTCTTATTCTTCTCAACCATCATTGTTTGTTTTCCATCACATTCACTGTAGCCTACCCTGTTCTGCTAAATCATTTTCGCTTCCACGTTCACTATGTCAGTTCTATTCGCTTACGTTATTCCGTGGTTTTTTATTCGAGTTGGGTGAGTTGAGTTTCGTACGCGACTTTGACCTAGATATAGTATGTAAAGTGACAAGTCTGAGGCTCCTCTCGTTCGCGCTCGGCCTTCATGCCATAGAGGTTAGGCCTGGCGCGTTGCGAAGAGGTGATTGATTATACGTGCGCCACGCTCGAGTGTTCTGATTCCCAGTCGTCGATCTCATTGAAACATCTTTTCTCCCTACATTCGTTGACCACATTTTGAGATAATTTCGTAGTTGGTGTGCTATTACCAATGTCGTTGCGTTCTGTTTGTCTATGCCTTCTTTTTATTGGTAATCCTTGTAGGTTTATCCACCATGTCTGGATCGGAAGCTGATGCTAAGGCAGTCCCCGCCGAGAAGAAAGAGCCTGTGACGGCAGAATCGGCTGGTGGTGATGTCGCTGAAGAAAGTCGCGATTCGGCCGCTTCTCTGGATAACGACGAAAAGTAGGTCTTTGATGTTGTTTATGTTTTGTGAATACTTGTTGTTCGTCTTGACATTACTCTGGGGTGTTTCTTGCCTGTCTCAAACTCTCGCAATGTCAGCTGAAAATAATTGCTGTGAAGATGATATTGCGAGCTCGAGCAAACGCTATGTTGATTTGAAATGTGCCCAGTTACCGTTGTTAAGGCGGTGGTGGGCACGCTGCGCTGGTTAGACCTGCTCTAGCTCGCGGTAGGGTTTTCGAGGTCAGTTGTCGTCGCAGCGCCAGTCTCGTAGTTTCGACCAGCCGCCTCGTTTTCAATTCGTCTTCCCTATAGATTTGCTGTGCTGAGACGTTCACGCTCTCATGTTTACCTCTTCTAGATAGTCCACATAACTTTATTGACCCTTTTCTCACGTACTGACCTTGCTGTTATGCCAGCTGTGTCATTGTTTCTGTTTCATATAGCCTCTGTTGCTTGCAGGTCGTATTCCGGTTCTGAGGAGAAGAACGGTGAAAGCGAGGATGGTGGAGAGGAGGACGAAGGCGGCAACGAGGAAGATGAAGGTGCCGAAGAGAATGGCAAGGAAGGCGAAAATGGACATGTAGAGTCCACCGACACCAACGGCAATGTTGGTTGATGTTCCACTTTTTTTTGGAGATTATGTCATTATTTTTATAAGTAATTCTTGTTTAAGGATCGTAAGCGAGTGTCCGATGTGGGCGCAGATGCCGCAGACGAAGGCGCTCCCGCTTTGAAGAAGAAAAAAGCTGAAGAGGAAGAGGTGCTGTTTCTTGTTTGTGATAGCTCACATGCCACAGGTGTTTTGCTGCCGACGAGGCTTTATAACTTACTAACAACTCTGGGTAGATTGGTTTTTTGAGAATGCGGCTGAGGCGACGGTGATGATCGATGTGGCGTAGCTTCGTTTAGCCAGCAAGCACAGGCCGATCGATCTCGGAGTCTCCGGCTTGGCTAGCCGCCAGATCGCGTTTACTACTAGTCAATCACATACAGCTTTGGCTAATTAATGATTACCAAACACCTAGCCAATTTGTCGCGCTGCCAATTTCGAAGATCTGGGCGGGAGGCGATGTTTTTCTATTCCCCTCCCACTAATGACGGGAAATGTTCGTTCGCGACCACCCTCGTATGCAGCAAACTAGATGTGCTTTTTGTTACCAAGGATCAAAGTGTAATGTTTCAGGTTGGTGCCGGAGACGCCCCCACCACAGAGTCCGTGGCAGCCGAATGAATCGAAGATATCGTTGTCTGTTTGTCGTATTTTATCACGTATATGTGTCGACCTTTTAGCTTGTTGCAATACATCGTCTCGTAGACCAAAACTTCTGCCGGTCGCCGTTTCATCGTTATCTCTAGTAGAGAAGTGTGAAGTGGCGATTTATCTCCCTCGTATCTGTTGAACCTCAATCAAAGTGTTAACCCGTGTGCGTGTCACTAGTATTTATATTGTGTCCCCTTACGGTCTCCGTCTCCTTGTTGATAAATCATGTATTACTTGTTGTTTCTATTTATGGATGTAACTCTTTCCACATAAATGTGAAGCGTCGATATGTTTGTGACAAGCTTTATTACCAAAAAAGCGGCATTTGTACGTATAACAAAAGGAACAATATATAAGTAAAAAAAGTGCACGTGCCCCTTTGAAGACAGTTTCCGCGATCAAGTGTTGTGTAGTAGGTGCTCAATCGTGAACCAGTAGTCCATAAGTAACTCCTAATTAGAGGCAGAGCGAAAAAAATCATGGAAATACTCTGAACAGGAGCCCCTATGCAGTGGGGCCTTTACGTTGGACGAGTTTGTCGAAGGTCAACAAGCGTAATCGGAAGGGTTCGATGTGCAACCAATTTGCCGCCAAAAGATCAGAAAACCCTACGACATTCCAAGCAACGCTATATGCACGCAATTTCGCTTCTGGGTCGTTGTATTGCAGAGTGAAAGCAGTTGTGGTTGCAATAATCACGCGTCTGTAGCTTCTTCATTTCGCCGTTTCGAGTGACGAAAGTGGTAAATTCTCTGCGAATGCAGGGAGCAGTTTCGCGGACCACTTGATCGCGGGAGCTGTCTTTGAGCCACGGCTGTTCATTCAACTGTCCTGTTCTAGAGCGTTTCATGGCCAAATGATAATAAATGAGAGCGGAACTGCGAAAAGTTTGGTTCTTACAGGTGAATGGGAGGTGCTTGGCTGGAATTGATTCAGGTGCTATGGCAGCGATCGTGGAGATCTTGGGTAAAGTGTGAAATGTGGAGTAATTTTCTACAAAAAAGGGGATGAAAAGGCGTCATTCTTCGGCAGTCGCCAGTTTGCTTTCTCCGGCCTGATCGACGATCACGGTAAATTTGGGTGGTTGGTGGCTTTCATCGACAGCTGTCTTGGTTTCTTTCACAGCACCTGAAAATAAAAGATCATAGGTGGTACCTAAGATTACTTCACTGATATTCGAACGCGATTTCATATGACCGTTTCATAACAGTTCACGGCATAAACAACCAAATGGAGCATGAAGTTCTTATAAATTAGTTATTATTTACTCTGAACACAGACCAATCAGTAGTGCATACAGCTTCACGAAGAGAATGGGGTCGTAATTAAAGGCAGTTGGCACGATAATGCGGTACTCCGTCTGAAATGGCAGCAGAGGTGCTAATAAGTGGGCAAATGGCGAAAAAGCGAAGTGGAACGGTCAAAAACCTGCAAAAATCCTTTGTTCTACACGACTCAGAAAGCTATTTCGGACGAGTTCCCCATTGGCATCGTGCCAATAATCGCTAGGGTAGATATGGATGCTATGAGTGTGTCACGCCGTCAGAGCCGTTCTCTGCCTTCTTTCTAGAGCGCGCATGCGACAAAAAGTGGTAGAAAACGAGTAATACGAAGGATATGATACAGTCATATCACTTGCTCGCTTTAAAAAATGGTGGAGAACAGGTTTGGCACCGCGCCAAACCCGTTCCGCCTGACACGCCCAACCGTCCGCAGCGAACCACATATATGTACACATATATCCCTGCATCACCGCAGCCGCTTATCAATCCCTTCGCCCAAATTGTACTTCGTAAATGAAGCGATACGAGCATCAGGATCAGTCATCCATCTGTGGTGGGCGGGCGTGGTGGGCCGCCGGGTCGGTATGTTGCAGCCTGATAGGGCGATATAAGGGTACCTTCCCTGAAAAGGCGCCCCGCAGCGCTTGCCCAAGGCGGCGAATTCAGTCATGCTAGGCGTAGTTAGTCCTACACGACTTGGATTTATCGCGCCAAATGCCCTCTAAGGAGTGGCTCCGTGCCACTCAGGGTACTACCTGCTGCCGCTGGAGAAAATTTGCGAAAATACGAATAACCCAGTTTCCTCCTGTAGGCCCCATACCCCATCCTACCTGCTACCTTGCTAGCTTTTGCGAGCTTTCTACTTTTTCCTCAAAATTCCTCCTAAATTTTGTCGTCGAGCGGGGTGGGGGAAGCCGTCGCCCACTATATGGGGTGTATAGCAACAGTGATACGAGAAAAACGCGAAAACTTGGAAAACCCAACAGCCAGAAAAAAATTTCTCTCAACGCGGCATGTTTTTCTCAAAGACGAACACGTTCCCCTTTCCCAACGCCCAGCGACGGGCAGTTACGATCTTTCCATTGGAATTCTTCCAACGAAATGAATAACAGCCGGTGAAACAGGAACAATCAATTGTCAAAAAGTTTTCTCGGACCAAATACGAACACCTTCCTCTGACGACCAAACACGATCTTCCCCCACCCCAATGTAGGATGTGCCCTGATGCCAGTTTGGCTCTTCCAGCGAAATGGTGGGATGACACACAGACTGCCTGATGCTGTGCATTCCAGAAGAATTTAATCAGTGACTTCGTGGTCGTTGTCCATTGGTGGCAATCCCTTATCAGGTACATTAGTAATGACAGCTCAGAAAATTTCTGCTTTCTAGCAAAGATCGAAGCTGTTGCCTAAACGTTGGGATAAATAGACGATTGCCAGAACCAGTAATGACGTGAATCAAAGGATGCAGAGTATCTCTGCAATGTTTTCAGTACTGCTGAACTCCATATTATTACGCTGGCGCATCTGATCCTTTTCAGCATGTGTACTGTGTACTCCCTGATGTCATCTTGAAGCCCATTTAGGCAAATTGTATTTTGTGGGCAGTAACGTTCAGTTACAAAATCACAAACTTGTTGTTGCTAAATGACCCTCCACGGAAAAAGAAAGCAAAAAAATTTGGAGAACGCCCATGCAAAGACCCCTGGCAGCCTCTTTGGACGATTTCTCAGGAACTGTTCGTTTTAGAACAGCAGAGCGATATCCTGCCTCCCCTGGCTGGATATCGCTCTCCTAGCGTCAACCAGTGTTGGCTGGATATCGCTCTCCTAGCGTCAACCAGTGCTAATAGCGTCAGAGAAAAAAAAAGAAAAATGCGGTGTAGAAGCAGTTCAAATGCCAGATAGGAGCCCTTCAATATTGTGGGCTGGGACTAGCGGAAGCGTCAGAAATGCCACTTATTGCAGGCCATCAGGTCATAGAACCGAAAAATACAGCGTGGGGAGGATAAAGTGGTTCGCGACGAACAACCTTGTACTTGTTTCGCGGCAAGAAACTGTAGTGGGGCGCTATAGTGCAATACAGCGGTTCGGTGACGCCTTTTTTTTTTTCCCGGGTGACTCCGCCCTTTCAAACTCCGTTCAGCGGCCGCCTTTCAGTCAAAAAACGATGGCCTGCAGGGCGAAAAAAAACATTGAAAATTCGTCACTTGAACGACCATACATATAGTTCTTTTCGGGGAATCAGTTGTGCGGAGGGGGGCGTAGTGTTGGGGATGGAGTCAATTGGGTCCGTACAAGGAGCCGCAGGAGTGTTATTGGAATAGGATTCTATTTTAGCGTCTTCACCTATCGAGTTACCAGCTTTTGTACACTATATGACCAAACCGCCTAATTCATTGTTTGTGTGGGGTTTGTCTTTAATTTCTGAAAACTTGCCTATAGAGGATGAACCATAGGCTAGATTGAGCAGTTTCGTGAGGAGGATTATTAGTTATTTTCGGGTGACCACAACGGCACTTTTTCAGGCAACCAAGCATGTAGTTTGCAAAGTCGTCGAGAAAGCTGCGCTCTGAATAACCTGCACTTAAATTCCAGATATGTGCTATTGGCGACATTCCAGTTAGAAGGGCGAGCCACGAAAATGGAATATAATTCCGAAGCTCTACGGAAAGCAAATGAAAAATTAGAAGAAGTTCTCAGGAAGAACTCACGACACAGAACTGACGCATGCTGTTCACGATTTTCCTGAATGCCTTCACGTGCACTCGCCCTCTTATTGTACTCTAATCGGCAATGTAAACAAAGGGTAACCCTCTTCGATTACTGCTTAACAGTTTCACGTGCGCCTGCTCTGCTCCTCCCTTGCCCTTCTATGTCTTTCGCCGCTGTTCCCATCTTTGTCAGTTGCAGTGACCATCACGCTCGTTGCACTGAAATTCTAAATAGGGTGCAGCATCGTGATGTGTGAGGTGATGGTGTAGGTACGACCCCCCCCCGCCGCTCCGAAAGAAGGTGTCAGAACGACCCCCCACCTAAATGAGGGTTTCGGCTCGCTCCCTCCCCCCGTCCCCTTCCCCAGCACCCACTCACCAATTCCCCACCACAAATTCCAGTTTTTCACCCAAAGTTCCGTCGAGCGAAGGGTATATAGCCAATAAGCTGTACCCAAATTCCTGACCACTTTCCGAATTTCTCCGAGAAATTTCCTACTTTTTAATTTGCTGTCGAAGCGGGTCGGGCGTTAGATGGAGGGAGGAGGATATAGTGCACATGAAAACAGAAAAAATCACACAAACAAGTCCAGTCAACGACGAGAAAACTGTTTCCCAACGCAGCAAATTCCTCTCAAAGGCACATACGCCCTCCCTCTCCCAACGACCAAATACGTCCCCACCTCCCCAGAGAAAAAGTACGACCTATGTGTTTCACACAGCGTATGGTACTTTGATCCAAATATACAGAGAGCCTGAGCTGTATCCCCTTTAATCGCGTCAACTATCTGTTTTTCTCAGGGCTTTTACGTCTGCATGAAATTCCATGACCACAGTGACCTTACCCCACAAGGCTGCACGCATGGAAAGTAACTCATCCATCTCGGAGTCCCCTTCTCCTGAAAAAATATCTACCTCGCTCACAAAATGTTTTTTGCACCTTTCGATGCCTTGGCAGTCGTGGTCCCATTTTCT